AGGAGCAAGATTGCTGGGTCGTATGGTACTTCAGATAGAACTAATAACTTAATGGGTGATCGCCATTTGCCTTCACTATCCACCCTTCCCCATTCTTCACCTGCATTGTGCCCCAGAAGACTGGTATGGGTGGACCAGAACCCCAGAAGGTGTCTGGGTGACTATGGCCAATGGAGTGTGCTGGCAGGAGACTGGAAGAAGGTAGGAGAGTGAGATGGGGATATTTCTTTCCCCAGCTCCCTTCTTGGGAGGCCATGGGTTGGTTGTATCCTTCCACCGAAGGCTCCTACAGCTTTCTCTAGGTCTTTAGTAACCTCTCTCTCCCTTTGCCTCTCACAGGCCTGGAGGTTGTTAACAGCTCTACACGTTACTGTTCCTGGGGTGCTCCATCATCCCTTGTTGCTTTGCCCTAAACCTGCCTCCACCTTTGTAATAAACACTTCAATAAACTTGCCTCATTCCTCCATTTGAGTGTGTGTCTGTTTCCTGGCAGGACCCTGACACAATAACAATAACTACTCCATAGAGAAGGAGCCCTGGTGGCACAGTGGTTAAGTGCTTGGCTGCTAACTAAGGTCAGCGGATCCAACCCAGCCAGAGGCTCCGTGGGAGGAAGACCTGACAATCTACTCCCATAAAGATCAAAGTCTAGAAAACTTTATGGGACACTTCTCCTCTGTCATGGGGTCACTAGGAGTCGGAATCCACTCGATGACACACAACACCACCCTATAGAGTTAATTGTGAAGATTCCATGATACAATGCATGTGAGTGCTTGGCATGGTCCCTGACTCATAATGAATACCCAGATCACCTGTCGTCAGTTTGTTGTACTGTGGTGGCTTGCATGTTGCTGTGATGCTGGAAGCTATGCCACCAGTATTGAGTAATACCAGCAGGGTCACCTATAGCGGACAAGTTTCAGCGTAGCTTCCCGACTAAGACATACTAGGAAAAAATCCCTGGTGATCTCCTTCCGAAAATCAGCCAATGAAAACCCTATGGATCATAACAGAACATTGTCAAATATACTGCTGGAAGATAAGCCCCCATGTTGGAAGGCCGCAACAATGGACTTATATCAATGATCATGGGTATGGGATGGGATCAGGAAATGTTTCATTCTGTTGTACTAACAACAAAAAGTAACAACAACAAACATAAATATATATATATATTTATACATACACATCCCCCCCATGCATCTGTCAGTTTGTCCTACTGTGGGGGCTTTTGTGTTGCTGTGACGCTGGAAGCTATGTCACTGGTGTTCAAATACCAGCAGAGTCACCCATGACTATGTCTCATATAGTTTGGACATGTTATCAAGAGGGACCAGTCCCTGGAGAAGGACATCATGCTTGGTAAAGTAGAGGATCAGTGAAGAAGAGGAAGACTCTCAATGAGATGGACAACAACAGTGGCCACACAATGGGCTCAAGCAAAACAATGATTTTGAGGATGGTGCAGGACTAGTTGGGTTTCGTTCTGCTGTACATAGGATCGCTATGAGTCAGAACCAACTCAACGGCACCTAATAACAATGTTACTACAATGGTGGGTCTGAGCCGCCTGCCGCAGAAGCCAATACTGAGACGGGTGAGGTGAGTAGCAAAAGGGTTTTGATTGTATATCGCTATACAGGAGAGAGGGGAGTGAGCGCCTCCAAAATCATTTTGATCAGAGGGTTATATAGGAAGAAATGAACGTCTAAAGAATCTGGAATGTTGGTTCCTTTCTGGGGTGGCTGGCCACGTTAACCACACTCCAGACATGTGGCCCTTTTGACACCATCCTGGTTTCAGCCACAAGATGATTTTTCCTTGTTCAGGCATTTTACTTCCAGAGACTATCACTTCTTCTACCTCCCAAAGAGGAACTTATGTTAATTTTATACTTCTATAAAATCATGGGAAAACAAGAGGGAAGAGAGAAGAAATATAAATCAGAATCATGGGAGCATGCAGAAGTGAACTCTGCAAGCTATGCGTTAATAATACAATACCCGAGACACTAGGCCTACACTGCTGACAATAAACAAGAAATGTGAAACTCCCACGCAGCCCCTTTCAACAACAACAACATACATATATACATGCACCACTCATCTGAGAGCGTGGCCAAGAAGCTATCCTGACCAAAGTTATTTTTGTCATACTGTGGTGACTTGTTTCTGTGATGCTGGAAGCTATGTCACCAGTATTTCAAATACCAGCAGGATCACCCATGGTGGACAGGTTTCAGCGGAGCTTCCAGACTAAGACAGAGGAGGAAGAAGGATCTGGCGGTCTAGTTCTGAGCAAAGAATCTGAGAAACTGGACTATATGAAGAACACAGCATTAAGGTTGGAGGAAGACTCATTAACAACCTGCATGTTGGGACATGCAGATGACACAACTTTCCTTGCTGAAAGTGAAGAGGACTTGAAGCACTTACTGATGAAGATCAAAGACTACAGCCTTTAGTACAGATTACACCTTAACATTAAGAAAACAAAAATCCTCACAAATGGACTAATAAGCACCATTATTATTGCTATGCGATAGTCACTTTTTTATGGCCTTTCTAGACATGGCCTTATAACCCCACGAAAAGATTGGGTGGGACTATGCAAATAATGTGCTTGTGGCCCACCAAGCAGATTGGATAACATGCTAATAATGCAAATAAGATGCACGACACACTTGTGGAAATGGAACCTTGCAAATAAGGTGTATGGAACCATAATAAGGGGATTGGTCAGTTTTGCCATCCTGCTGGGCTTAAAATGAGACATCCCAGAAGTGGAAATGGTGGACCTCACTACCACCAAGAAAAAGAGACAAGAGTGGAGTGTGTTCTTTGGATCCGGGGCCCCTGTGCTGAGAGCCTCCTAGACCCAGGAGACAGAGAGAGAGAGCTGTAACACAATAGACAATGCAAGACGGCAAGAAGTGGTGACCAAGAAATGGCAGCAGAAGAACTGGGTACTGGTGCAAGATGGTGCAGTGGGCTTCCTGGCCCATGGAACAAGGCGGTTACAGTGGGTGTGCCTACCCACAGAGCGAGAGAGCTGAGCACATTTGGGCAGGAGGCTTCCTAGAATGGGGTGCCCTTGGGCACTTACTGGCAGAGTTAAAGAGCTTTGTAACATTTTCTTGAGCAGGGCAGAGGTGGGGGGCCAAAGACCAAGAGGCCAAGGGCAAGGGAAAGTCCTGCCTATGAGTGCAGCTGAGAAGCTGACCTGACCAAAGAATTGCATCCTGAGTCGTTCCTGATCCTGAATTGTAACCTGTTACTTTGCTAATAAACCCCATAACTGTGAGTATGGTCTATGACTTCTGTGTGGCCATTGCAATGAATTATTAGAACCAGCAGAAAAGTATAGAGTGCCGTGGGAGGGATGGCTGGTGTCAGCATTGTTAAAAAGTTTGGAGGTAGGAGTTATAGCTAACCTCTGCCTCATAGGAATCAGCCTTGGGCTGTGGATGCTGATAACGATTCCCCCCCACCACCTTGTGAAATTAGATGAAGAGGTCAGATGACGCTGCTACCATGCCATTTTTACAATAATAAATGGAGAAAATATAGAAGTTGTCCAGGATTTCATATTATTTGGATCCACAATCAATATCCATGGAAACAGCAGTCAAGAAGTCAAACAACGTATTGCATTGGGCAAATCTGCTGCAAAAGATCTCTTTAAAGTGCTAAAAAGCAAAGATGTCACTTTGAGAACTAAGGTGTGCCTGACCCAAGCCATGGTATTTTCAATCACCTCATACATATTTGAAAACTGGACAATGAATAAGGAAGACAGAAGAAGAATTGATGCATTTGAATTACGGTGTTGATGAAGAAGAATATTGAATATACCACGGACTGACAGAAGAAAGAACAGATCTTTCTTGGAAGTACAGCCAGAACACTCCTTAGAAGCAAGGATGTCAAGACTTAGTCTCACGTACTTTGGACATGTTATCAGGAAGGACCAGTCCCTGGAGAAGGACATCATGCTTGGTAAAGAGTCAGGAAAAGAGAGGAAGATCCTCAACGAGATGGATTGACACGGTGGCTGCAACAATGGGCTCAAACATAGCAATAATTGTGAGAATGGCACAGGACCAGGCAATGTTTTGTTCTGCTGTTATATAGCGATAATAAGGGAATGCTTCATAAATCTAATAAAATCAAGACAAGGAGGAAATCACTAGATGTGTATTTAGATTTGCCAAACTAAGGTGTATTTCCTGTATCTGTGCCAGATCTAAGATTCTTTTAATACAATTGAGATGAAAATTTCAGGATAGCATGCCAAAGAGACCAGTCAAGAATTTTACCAGTCATGTGTTGTTAGGTGCCTTGAAGTTGATATTCAACTCATAGTGACCCCAGGTGACAGAGTAGAACTTACCCATGGGGTTTTCTTGGCTGTAATCTTTAGGGGGGCAGATCACCAGGTCTTTCTTCCTCGGGCTGCTGGGTGGGTTTGAACTGAGCATTTATAACCGTTGTGTCACCTGGGCTCCTTACAGGCCAAGTAGATCAGTGTAATTATGTTGGGTTGCCCCATCCTAAAGACCAAGACTATGGGTAAGTCAAATCCCAAAGGGTAAACTGAGAAGTGATTTGGTAATAGGGAACTGGGTAACACATAGATCTGCTGACTCCTTCCCACACTACCTCTTGCACTAAGAAGTTCACAAACTAAAGGAACCCCTTTAGAAAAGTTGGATCCATTTTCTTAGCCTGGCTGGGAGTTGGCACCAGTTTCCATTAGTTTATTTTCCCTGTTGGACACCATCCCTATTTCCAAATTCATTTCCTGAGGCACTTTGGTATCGCGGGGGTGGCGTGGTAATGTACTATGTAAATGACTCATGAAAAGAGAACTAATGGACCTAGCATTTTGCAAACTCCCCCAACCTAGACCCCCAAGCCAGATCAGATATCTTACCCACCCACAAGCCTCCTTGAGAAACTGGAGCTCAAGATAAGAAGAGATCTACTTCCTTTTTGTTGCCTCTGAGAAGCCACCAGACTGGGTGAGAAGCCAGGGCTTTTCATCGTGGTAGGTAAGTAGAAATTGGTTTAGTGTCTTCTGATAGAAAACAGAAAATGTTTTACTGGGAACTTGGGTCTATAAAATGTTCTGCTTCTAGAATTTTCCAGACCTCATTACACGTCCTGTTATTTTATTTCTTGAAAGCCGCTGTCTGGGCAACTATCTCCCTTTCATTTTTCCACTTCTGCTTGGGCGAGGAATGTGTGTGTTGTTTTGTGAAGAGTGGAAAATACTGAGATGCTTTAGCATACTGAAAGAAGATGGGGAACTGTGAATTAGTGGACTTAAGGTGAAGTAACTTGACAAAGCTCCGAGAAAAGTTGAACAAACTCAGAGTGTAACTAATTTGTTATTAAAAATGTGGAAAATAAGGTCTAAAACCAGCAGGAAGTTGACCAAGGTCACGCAGTGAATTACCATGCCTTTTCACATGCTACACACCTCACCCCCCACCCAAATAAACACATGAGCACATTAAATGCCAAGTTCCAGTGAAGGATTGTATGTTGCCTTCATGGCCAGAATAAAGAGATATACAAGTCAGTGTTTTGTAACCAGCTGGTTGTGACTCCCTAGGGGGGTCAGGAAACCAACTTAGAAGGTGTCATGGATTGAATTGTGTCCCCCCAAAATATATGTGTCAACTTGGCTATTCCATGATTCCCAGTATTGTGTGATTGTCCACCGTTTTGTTATCTGATGTGATTTTCCTATGTGTTGTAAATCCTACCTCTATAATGTTAATGAGGTGGGATTTGTGGCAGTTATGTTAATGAGGTAGGACTCAATCTACAAGACTAGGTTGTGTCTTAAGTCAATCACTTTTGAGATATAAAAGAGAGAAGAGAACAGAGAGACATGGGGGACTTCATACCACCAAGAAAGAAGAGCTAGAAGAATAGCATGTCCTTTGGACCTGAGGTCCCTGCACTGAGAAGCCCCTGGACCAGGGAAGATTGATGACAAGGACCTTCCCCCAGAGTCAACAGAGAGAGAAAGCCTTTCCCTGGAGCTGGCACCTTGAATTCTGGCTTCTAGCCTGCTAGACTGTGAGAAAATAAATTTCTCTTTGGTAAAGCCCTCCACTTGTGGTATTTCTTTTATAGCAGCACTTAATAACTAAGACAGTGGGTAACAATCAGCATTTTAAAAGAAATGAAAAGCATTTTAAAAGAAATGAATTTTAATTATAAAATATCAGATACTGCATGTAGTGATACTGTTTTGTGAAGCTTGATTTAGTTCTCTTTCTATACATATATAAATTCCTTGCTGTAGAGTCAATTTCAACTCACAGTGACCCCATGTATGTTAGAGTACAACTTCACTCCGTAGGGTTTTCAGTGGTTGTGATCTTATAGAAATAGATCACCAGGCCTTTCTCTTGCAGTGCTGCTAGGTGAATTTGAACTGGCAATATGAATGTATATATATGCATACATATTTCTATACATATATGTAAGTTTTCATACATGAATACTGTATCATCAATATAATATTTCTTATTGTGGGTCATGGCCAGAATCTCTCCAAATAAGCATAGCTAGAAGCTTCTGCTGTTTTGAAAAATATTATCACCTCTTTTACATAAAATACTCTCTTTAGTAAAACTGGTTTCCAATGAGGACTCAAAAAGCAATTGTTCGCATCTGGTCAAGGTTTCTTAATAACGGCCGTTTCTATAGTATTTTAATTGCTGTGCTTTAGATAAAGGTTTACAGAGCAAATTAGTTTCTCACTAAACAATAAATACACATATCGTTTTGTGACATTGGTTGCCAACCCCACAGCATGTCAACACTCTCCCCTTCTCGACCTTGGGTTCCCCATTACCAGCTTTCCTGTCCCTCCTGCCTTCTCATCTTTGCCCCTGGATTGGTGTGCACATTTAGACTCATTTTATTTTATGGGCTTGTCTAATCTTTGGCTGAAGGGTGAACCTCAGGAGTGACTTCAGTACCAAGTTAAACGGATGTCTGGGGCCATACTCTTGGGGTTTCTCCAGTCCTTGTCAGACCAGTAAGACTGGTCTTTTCTGTGAGCGACAATTTTCTTCTACATTTTTCTCCAGCTCTCTGGGACCCTTTATTGTGATTCCTGTCAGAGCAGTCAGTGGTGGCAGCTGAGCATCATCTAGTTGTGCTAGACTCAGTCTGGTGGAGTTTGTGGTAGTTGTGGTCCATTGGTCCTTTGGACTAATCTTTCCCTTGTGCCTTTGGTTTTCTTCATTCTCCCTTGCCCCAGATGGAGTGGGACCAGTGGAGTATCTTAGATGGCCACTCATAGGCTTTTAGACCCCAGACACTACTCACCAAAGCAGGATGTAGAACATTTTCTTTATAAACTATGTTATGCCAATTGAGCTAGATATCCCCTGAGACCATGGTCCCCAGCCCTCCCCCCAGTAATTCGGTCCCTCAGTTTGGATGTGTCTATGGAGCTTCCATGACCTTGCCTTGGACAAGTTGTGCTGGCTTCCCCAGTATTGTCTACAGTATATTTTAGAGTAGATTTTTTGAGAAGAAGAGCACCATGCATCAAAGAAAGAAAGACAAATGTTGAGAGAAAGGAAGGCAACCAGGAAGTGACCAAGTATATTTCCTCTAAGGGACAAAAAAGCCCATTTAAAGAATTTGATTTTCAATCAGGCAGTATTGTCTACTGCAGAAGTTGTGAACTGGTGATTCACTGGTTGTGTATTTAAGGAAGAAGTGGATTTGAACGTCTTTAGATAGATAGAGCTTGCAGCCTCCAGAACTCCAACGTCCTCACCAATTGCTGTGTTGTTGTTGGGTGCCATCAAGTTGATTTTCAACTCATAGCAACCCGTGTGACAGAGGAGACTGTCCCATAGGATTTCCTAGGCTGTAATCTTTATAGGAGCAGATCACCCAGTCTTTCTCCCTCAGAAACCACAACTTTTCAGTAAACAGCCAAGTGCTTGACCGTTGCACCACCAGGGCTCTTTGCTTCTCACCAATGGCCTCATATTTATGTTACGTGTCTAGGTCCCAGAAGGTACTGGAATTTATGACCTTGGTCTGGTGGTAAACAAGGGCTTTGGACTCAGGGAGATTTTGTTCAAGTCTTAGCTTTGCATTTTACTAGCAGCGGGACCTTGAGCTAGTGATATAATCTCTTTGAACCTCCATTTCTTATTCTGAAAAGTGGGAAGATAACTATAACTTCTATATCATTGAGTGGTTGTGAGCTTTCAATGAGATAATATTTACAAACACTTAATAAGGTGCTTAGCCCATAGTAGAAGCTCCATAAATGTTTTTAGGATGTGGTAAAGGTATGGATAAGAGAAGTCTCTTTAGCAAAATTTAATTTACATCCAATATTCCAGTGCACAATGTGCAGTTAACCTGTTCACGACTGTCAGGAATCAGAGATTCCTCTGGGATGGTCCCTCTCGGAGCACTACTTTGTTACTGTGGGGACCTCACGGGACCCTTTTCAAGTCTCATCACCACTGGGTAAGAGATCAGTCCTCAACATGCAAAGTCATGGTTATAATTGGAGTCATGGAAGAAGGATGGGTGATCTCTGTGACCACCATTGTAACCACCACCATCATCACCATCACCACCAGCTCTACCATCACTGCCATCTACCATCCACCAACTACCACCACCATCACCATTTCTGTCATGGCAATCGTCACCACCACCATCA